ATTTTCTGTAGTCTTTTCCACATTAACTCCATCTTTATTGGAGTTTGAGATTTATGAAAAAATCAGCACATAGATGCATGAGATGCCTGCACACACTGGAGTTAATCTATGGTAGATTGGCCAGAAGATACGAAGTTTTTAGAGTAAAGTGCAGAATTTCTATTTGCACATTCATGATTCAGGTCTCTCTCTTCCCTTTCCTACTACAGTTAATTGAAAATCGATCCTACAAAATTCTGCAACAGGCTCACCAGTGCCATCATAGTCGTGAGCCATCATAGGAGACTATAATTTTCCAGTTGTTTGTTGCTTCAAAGAATTGGATTAGAATGGGAAGTAACTTTAGAGATCTTCAGATAGAGATAAATTCTAGATAAAATTAAACTTCTATTGAAAATTATTGTTATCCATAAATTTTCTATCATCCTCCCCATTTCCCCTTAAGAGACCAGCACTACACATTAAAAAGGGGGGTAATTAACTATCCTTTTTCATTGATCGTTAGATGTTAGAGATGGATGTAGAAAAATACGCAATGGACAATTGACATCTACATGAATAACTGTAACAGCAAATAATCGGATATTGCAATATAAAGTATCTCAAAACAGCAGCTGGAAACATTTGAAGACTTAGTTCAGTGCATATAATATATGCTGAAGCATTTATATTATGTTATCTAGAAAAAATGAATTATGTACCATAATTTTCATATATGTATTTTGTTAAAGGGTCTAGCCTATCTGATCATAAAATGCATTAGCATCCTAATTCTGAGGATACAATATAATATAACTATTGTACATAATTAATCTGAAAACATCTCAAGAGAAAATGTATAAAACCAAATTGCATAGGTTCATAATTGGACGAGGACGTCGTTAATTGCATTAAAAATCACCTTTCACATAAATAATTGATCATACAACATCAAGATCATATGTCATGCTAACTTCTCAGTTAGTAGCATTTATCTGATAGTTGACAGGTTTTGTGCACAAGAATTGCTTTTAGATACTTCCACCTTATCTGGGCATACTCTACAATGGCCCTACTCAAAATTATTACATTATCAATCAAGTATAGTTGATCTCCATATCCCATGTTGATGGAAATATGGTCATCCACCCAAAAAATAAAACACGTACTCCGAATAACCTTGATGAATTACTAAAGATATACGTTATGGAACTACGATCATCTTTAAAGCAAATAATACCCATAACTCAAGGATTTATGATTAATGATAGTAAGCCATTTATAGTTGATGGAAATTTGTAGCCCACCAAATTAAAAAAAAATAAAAATGGCATAGTATTGCTTCGAGTAAGGGCTATTCACAATGAAACAATTTTTGAACCTTACGCAATCAAAATTAAGGATTTTCACTTTCCAATGACCCTTCCAACCCACCCAAAAATAACACCAATACATCCAAAAATGATTGATTCCAGAAACCTCCCATCCTACTGGTTACAATTACATCAACATACGGTCGTCCATCAAATTTCACTACCTACAATTACTTGTAACAGTAGCAATTCACAAAAACAATGATCATCTACACTTCAAGATAAGGAAATTGTCAAAATACACCGAATGAGGGAGAGAAAAATATCAGCACTCTAGATGAAGGAAATACAATCGCCACATGCATTTGGAGAATGAGTAACGTTGTTATGTCGATTAGATTTAAGTAATGCCCCACAATTTATATACACATTAAAAAAAATGAAATCAGCCAAAAGCGATATCTGAAATTGAAGCTTACTTGCAAAGAGCATTGATCAATTAAACCAAAAAGATTATAAGCATGTGTAGAACTTAAAGAGCTAATCTAGATATAAGGAGGGTACCTTGACATGGAAGGTCCCCTTTGGAAGTTTTGAAGTGAGTAATTCCCTTAATCGCCGTACAACTTTAACTTTGTTTGCCAAAATGTCGAGCAGTGGTGGAAGCTCTTCATTTTGTAGTGGGAATTCTGGAAAAAGCCAGAGAACGGCCCCAAGGCCCCCAACCCTTTCTTGTACTCATTCTCATGGCTTCCATCCTTGCGGCAATTTCCACTGTCAGTGTTTGGGTGAGTGTGACAACACCCTTGGCGGTGGAAATGGTGGGATTGAAAGAGATTGGGAGAAGAGATGCGCGAATGGAGGGATGTGTGAATTAGTGTAAGTTAGGGTTATTTTTTGTTTTTATCATTTGAGTCTGTACATAATTTAATTTGGGAAAAATACAAAACTTTTCTCAACGTTCAAAAAATGTTGTCAAAAGTAAACTTTTCGCAACGTTCAAAAAAAGTTGTCAAAAATGAACTTTTCGCAACAATTAAAAACGTTGCAAAAAGTAATCTTTTTGCAACAGTCAATAAACGTTGCAAATGCTTTATATTGAGAGTTTCAACAACAGGCCCTGAACGTCGCTATAGAACCAAATTTCAACAACGTTAAAAAAATGTTGCACGTTGCAAAAGGTGACATTAGCAACAGTTTTTAAAAAAAAAGTTTGCGAAAGGTCAATTATGTTAGCTAATAGCAAAATTCACTTGTTAAAATGTTGCGATAGATCTCTTTAACAATATTTAATCAACGAATGTTGCCTTTTGCGCATTGCAAAATGCCATTTTTGGTGTAGTGCCGTCTGAAACCACTCCACGCCCTTACAAACAATTACAATCACCATCAATGACAATATCCACAGTCATTCGGCCATCACCCAACTACGACAAAAATCTACCATCACTCGACTACTAGAAACTTGACTATCACCATCACTACAACAATATCTACCATCACTCGGCCACCATCACCAAGTTCAGCTCTTTAAAGTCATCATCTAATTTTAATTTTTCACACAAACTTAATCATCAAGAGGATCTATACACAGAGTAGTCTGACCTCTAATTGCAAAGCTGGATTATTTCCACTTAACAATTAAAAAATAAAATCCAATATGACTCCCTGATAATCCAAGGCTAAAAAGAGGAATACTCCAAAAACATTAAAAATGCAAAAGATGGAAGAGTACAACTACTATTGCAAATCAAATGTACAGCCTTTTTGCCCGTAGCAAAAGCGTTGACGGCAGCAGTGCAGTGTTGTGGAGGAGACGGCAAGAGAGAAAATAGAGGTGGTTGAGGAAAAGAGATGGTAATGGTGCAGC